ATATAATAAAATTCTTCCATTGACAACTATGTCCAGCTAAAAGCCACTCTGCACTATGGCCATATTCAAACACAGAAAAGGCTATAGAAGTAAATCAAGAATGGAGCCCCAAAAGCAGTTGACTTTTAACACTAACAAACTTCTAGCAACACCTGCAGCCAAGCCAGCTCCAAATGTAATGCCCTCTATTCCTTTTGATCTTGGATCTCTATAGCCTAGGTTAGTGTCCTAGATAGTCTTACTACCAAAGTACTGAATTTTGATGGTGCTACTATTATCTTGGTAGATAAACTGATACCTACTATTAGTACTACAATACTTATATTTAGTGAGTACAAACAGTGAATTTAATTTCTACCAGCCTATAAATTGAAAGTCTTATTAAGCTAAATGTGCATTTTAACAGTAATCAAACCTGTATTCCCTTTTCAATGAGAAACTAATCTTCAAGCCAGGGTTGCTATTACAGCAGTGCAAGGCTCAGTCTCCCTATTTAAGAAATGACCCTTTTTTTTTCTTTTTTTTTTTCTTTTTTTTTTTCTTTTTTTTCTTTTTTCTTACTGATTAATAGTGTTTTAATGTATTCCTTATTACTATAATATAAAAATTATATTTAGTGGGTACACTAATAAAATATGTAAATTAGGTCTGTCTTTGCTATAATGGCTTATTTTAGCATAATAGTAAGACATATCTGGTTTGAAGGGAATTTCTCCAATTAAAAAAGTGCAGTCTTGATCTGTTTTTAGAATTTGTACAAATTTCTTTTAATAGAACATTTTGTGCCTAAGCTAATAGATATATTAATTTTACTATTTAAGTAAAAAAAAAAAAAAAAAAAAAAAATGGATGTCTACTCAAACACATGTATCTACTAAATATAATGTTTATAGTAATTAAAAATAATGTTCATTTAAAAAATACATTATTACACACACACATATATATATATATATATATATATATATATATATATATATATATATATGAGATGGGCGACTTAACCGAAAAGCCAACTTTTTTTGGTTTCATCTTCACACCGTAAAACTGCTTTAAGAAGAAAGTTAACTTTCAAATATATGTAAACATCGACAAATAAAAGAATAACAAAAAAAACAAAAAACACCTAACCCTAATTTGAAAGTAAACTCTCTTAAAAAAAAAAAAAAAAAAAAAAAATTAAAAAATTACTTTGTTGTTCTTTTATTTGTCGATGTTTACATATATTTGAAAGTTAACTTTCTTCTTAAATTAAGTAAAAAAAAAAAAAAAATTTTTTTTTAAATTGCTTTTTACGGAAGCATGTACTAATTTCTACAAGGAATTACTGTGAAGGAAGTAAATAGGCCCAAATTGTATACGTCCACCAACAAAATTCAGCAGTAAATTACTTATCAATAGGCCGGTAATGGCTGACGAAAGACCAGGAAAAAGCCCAATTTTTGGGGGGTCGTTAACATCCAAAAAGGTAGGTTTCTTCAATATCTAATTGTTGATTTGAGTTCAACATATACATTTGCACAGAAATAAGACTATTTTGGAAAATTTGAAGGGATATTAGTGCTCGGGTGTTAAAATGAAAATTTACCAAAGAAAAAGATTGAACAAAATGTTAAAAACATTTAATTGACTAGTTTTAAATAAATGTAAAATCTGTTTACAAAAGAAATGAAGAAAAAAGAGGAATTAAATGATGTCTAAAATCTATTTATTTCAGTTTTTTTTTTTTTTTTAAAACAACTTTTTTGGTAAGATTAAGAAGTTAACAACAAAATAGCAAGTCAAAAAAAAAAAAAAATAGTTGCCAGTTCCATAATGAATGTTAAATTTTATGACGTCAGATTTTTTGTAAGGGTTTCCTAGTAAGCCAGTGAGTACTACGCTAATCACGAAAAAGTTGTTGTAAACAAGAAAAATGAATAGTTTTTTTGTTTTTTTTTAAATAAAATTTATTTTATCTAGGGAATGTACCTAAAGGTATTAAGAATTAAAATTTAAAATAGTTTTTAATTTCACTTAAAATAATTTGTATATTTCCAGATGCGGGTCTCTAGTGTAAAATTAAGAATAAAATTGTTTGTTTTCTACAAATAAAAGAATGTTTCTATCTAGCAAATATACCTAAAATTAAATATTGAAAAAATAAAGTAAGTTTTAATTTCAGGCTTATAAAATGTGTAAAACTGCATTTTTCTTAAAGCCAAGTAAAAATTATTCTTAGCTACTATCATTCAATGGGTGATTGTTACTGTTCTGCCTATAAAATTCTTCTGAACAAGGAAAATTCATTTTATTTTTACAAATATCTTTATGGTTTTATCTAGCAAATACGCTTAAGATTAGATTAAAATAGTTTTTAATTCCGGTTATAAAATGTGTATCTAAAAAGAACAGGTGATACTCGCAGATTTGGAAATCTATACATTCTAAAAATGAAATTAAAAAATGCTTTTAATTATTTTTTTTTAACTCATTGATTTTCCTTGTTTAGAAGAACCCCAATAACAGTTGACTGATGTATCTGAAAAGAATTGCCATATTTTTAATTTAAAAACATTTTTTTTTTTTTGCAAGCCATATCATAAACTAATTTCTGGAGAGCCATATCATTTTCTCTTTCAAATGTGTTGTCGAAAGACACAAAAAATATAGATATTTTATGCGACGATTTCTTTTTTATTTTAGTTTACCAATTTGTTAATAAATATGGTAGTTATTTATAGTTGACAACTTATTTGAAAGTTTAATAAATAAACTTTAATTGAGAGTGTCTGTCAGACACTTTTCTTTTTTTTTTTTTTTTTTTTTTTGCTTACTTTACTTTATAATTTTTGAAGGAATTCGCTTCCACAGGTCAGAAGAAATGAACACATTTCTGGTTGTAGCTTAATGTGTCTTCTTGAGTGTACAATTTCAAGAATATTGATTAAGATTGGTCACTTTGATTTTGCAAATCAAAGTGTAAAATTTAGTCGGGGGGGAATATTTTATTTAGCTGTTCAAAGCAAAATACTTGCTGTAATAAAAAAAAAATCAATAAATAAAAGCACATACAAATTACATATTTAGAAAGATTTTCTTTCCAACTATATGAATATTTTTTAAGATTGGACCAGAAATACATGATAAATTTTGATTTGAACGAACTAAGTTGCAAATTTATCAATCTAACAAAATCAGATATTGACTGGAAATGATATCATTACACAAGAAAATGAATAGCTTCCTTAAAAAGCAAAAATACTAAATTAAAAACCTAATCGAAAACCGGTATCAAGAAGAAAAAAAACTGAAGCTGATACCAAAACAAATGGCCAAACCACCCAACTCATAAAATGAAAAGTGTGTGTGTATATATATATATATATATATATATATATATATATATATATATATATATAGTGTGTGTGCAATATATTATTTATATATTATATGTGCAGTTCTTATTGGAAAGTGCCCAATATCAGAGATAGAGCTAACATATTTAGTTGGATTGATATGAGTTTGTGACCCTGGGTTTAATGCTTTTGCGATTGTGAAACCCCGGGTCACAAACTCATATCAATCCAACTTATATAATCTTTTTAAAGAATTAATGAATTTATTTTTAATCCTACATTTTTATTACCTCATTTGCAAACAGTGGTTTCTCCTGCAAAGTGTACTGCAGGTTCAATCCCTGCCAAAGAACATTTTCTTTACTAAGATTTCTCAAATGCGCACACTGTTTAATAAATAAAAATGGGTTGTCTATTTCAAATATAAAGTATCCACTATAATAATGTTTGATATAATAAATATACTAAAATGGAACAATTATGAAATAGTAGTAGTATGTTTCTAGCATCACCCAAAAATCAAAATTCCTGACAACATAAATATGATTGTTTTTATTTTAATACAATGGTTATTTGTTTTATTGTATACTCTTTTAGTACAGTTGCAATAAGAAAAATCTTATTGCCTACAGTCTGGTAAAAAGTTTTTAGAATTTGGGTTCAGTTTTCAGAAATGTATTAAGAGTATTATAATTTGTAAAATGCAAAAGTTTTTTGCCAGTAGTATGATTTGAAATATTTGGCAAGATTTCAAAAATCATAATTTTGTTAATTTTTAACAACTTATATTTTTTATATCAATTTTGAGATAATTCTCAAAATTATAATGCTTAAATGAACATGTATAATATCTCCCTAATTATGATCAGATAAAATGAGTTAATTTAGTCTTTTAAAACTAGCCATATTAATTAAAGCTTATAAGTGTAGACAAGTATCTTTTCATAATCTTATCTGTTTATAAAAAATAGTTTGTCAATGTTTAGTGCTACATGACAAATAAGTTGAAAATGGTAATTTTGTTTGTGTTTTGGTAATTTGGTATTGTGCATCTTAAGTAAATTGCTTTTAAATAGTTGAATTTTGTACACAATTTTATTTTTGTTGCATTACAGGCAATGAAGCAGTGATATTAGACAATTGTCTTTAACTTGCCTTTTACAATCTGCTTTAAGTCATTTTTCTTTGCTGTTCTGATCCATAGTAAAATATATTTATTGAAAATTTTAACTGATCTAAATTGATTTAAAATTGGAGCAAAAGGGCTTTATTTATAAAAATAGTTTTCTTTGCAGATATATCCAAAAAATATGTAATTCTTTATTATAATTGAGATTGTAACTTTTAAAAGAACTTACTTACCTTTTTCTTTTCTTTTTCTTTAAATTGAAAGTATACAAATTTTATTAAATTGTATCTATCATTACATTGGAATCTGTGATACATAATTTTTTTACTGTTTTATGCTAAATATAAAATAATTTTGTAGGAGCTGTTTTGACACATTTTTAATACAATGTATGCAAATTTAGGTTAGAGGAGAAACCATAAATGTTTAACTTTTCAAATTTTCTGTTCTTAAATTTAATAATTTCTTTTCTGATTATTTAAAATTTTTAGATTTTACCCTTTTCAATTTTCCTTATTGTTTGCATTTTTCAGGACTCAGGCCGAGATGGCCCATACATGTCGGGGCACCATCAATTTAGCCAACGCTTTTATCCACACAGAAGATTCTTGTACATTTGTTATTTCAAATGGTGGTACACAAAGTTTTCATCTGAGAGCCAGTTCTGAAGTAGAACGACAAAAATGGGTGACAGCCCTGGAACTAGCAAAAGCCAAAGCTATTCAAATGCTGGAATCAGGTAAAAAAAAAATACTCTGTTTTATTTGGAAATTTTAAAAATTTCTTACTCTAACATAAAAATAATTTCTTAAAAGTATTAAGAATTCTTTTTTCTTCATACATCTTAAAAATATCTGAATTAAAAAAAACAAAAAAAACTCTATACATATGCAAGTTTTTAGGATGTAGAATAGTATCTGAAACGAAGATGGGGGATAATGGAGGAAAAAGCTTTTTAACAACACATTTTGATGAGGTTTGCATCTTTAGGTTGGAATGATAGGCAAAACTAAAGAAAATACTTTGGGATTTTTGAGGATATAAGGGGCAATAAATTAAATTACCTTATTAGATCTAACAACCAGAGATGAGTTATATATGTGTGTATGTAAAAGAACAAGTATTAAGAAGACAGAAGATGACAATTGACATTACATTTAAATTCTTGAAGATTCACAAGCAAGAAGGGCAAGAGAAGAAACTGTTAGCATAGAATTTATGGTTACATGTAGCCATTTCAACTGTAAAATGATGAGACCTATTAATTCACCAAAATGTAAACCTTGTTAAAATCATCAATCTGTTAAGGAGCAATATGAGCCATACCTGCTGTAGCATCAAGGCATTATTATCTTTGCTTAAATTACTTGTCAAAGTAAAATTGCTTTTCATAATCTAGATAATAGCAAAATAAAAATATACTCATTAATAAGATAGATTAAATAATTATTAAGAAGTAAGCTATAATTATTTTCTTAAATTTGGAGTTATAAGATTATCAAAATAAATCTAGTACCAGGTTTATTAATTTCTTTTGATTTTTAAGTTTATTGAATTGATGGATTATTAGGAATTTAGAAGTGATGATTTTATATATCATATGTAGAATTAATAAATACTAAACACTTCAAATACCTTAGTGTATGGATCAGTTATAATAAATTTAGTATAGGAGTTAAGGAAATTGAACATAGACTGTACAAGGGGTAATTTTGTTCAACACTACAAAACCCAAACATTTAACCTCAAAACTCTAGTCATGGTCTTAATTTTGTCAAATCAAGTCTATCATATGGATGCCCTGCATAGTGGTCAACCTATTCAGAAATGTTTAAACTGCCAACTGTATGTAACCACTTTTTCAAATCAATGATTGAAAATGGTTTGGAGCTTCTAAGTCTGGAGTGACACTAGAGAATCCCAAAGAATTGTACCAAATAACAAAAACCACATCACTTGAGGACTTTTCAACAACTAAAATGTTTATCACATGTAACCCAAACAGAAGATAATGATATAATCAAAATGTTGACATTCCATACTACTTCAAACAAAAGGTCAAGAAGTAAAGCCTTATCAATAATGGAAAAAAAGTGATGAGGATGGACATGAGACACACTATTTACATTGTTTGGAATGTTGTACTCATTTTTATTGCCATAGTCATGATGTTTCAGCCATTGTACACTCTGTTCTCCTTTGGTTTCAGACCAAACCTCTAATTCCACATGCCGTGCATTTTTTTTTTTTTTTTATATCAGTTTCAGCTAATTCTCCCTCCAAGTTTTTGTTTCCTCTTTTGAACTCACAACTTTGGGTCAAATCACTTCAACCAATGCTTTTATCCACTGGGCCATATGTCCTTGGGGAGATCAATAAGTGAAATTTTTTTATTTACAAACCTAATATCTCAGTAATTTTTTTTTTTTTTTTTCTCTAGCTCTCTGTATTATTGGTTCCCATATTGTATTCATATCTATACTTAACCAGCTTAGGAAATCTTTGTGGTCTAGCATATGTGCTGATTCCTTAAGTTTTCATATTTTACAGTGATATTTTCTGGTCTATTATTTCAACTTCATCCCACAGAGGGCAATGGTCTCCTTTTTCCCTCCATATATGATCAGCCATGCCTTTTTCTATTTCTCCTTGTGTTACAGTTTTATGATGTTCTCATCTTTATTGCCATATTCACAATGTTTTGGCTGTTGTATGCTCCAACACAACCGCTGGATAAAACATCAGTTGCAATGTGATATCTCTCAAATGCTTGAGGCCTTCTTCAATAAAATTACTGATGAAGAAGACTGAAACAGAATCCAGCCTAATCTGGATAAATCCTACAAATTTGATGCTGTTAAAACCTACCAAATACAGAAACAAGTTGAAAGATCAGAAGGTGATGCATAAGGCCCATTACCCCCAGTGAAGGCAGTAGTAAGCATCAGCTGAGTGCCTCTGAGGAGTTCAACTTAGCAACAACAGTTTGACTGATGTAAATTATTACAATACCTCATCTCAGAAATATAGACAGATGTTAGTAAAAACACTTCTGAATCATAGACTTTGAGGGAGTTAAAAAGCTCCACTACTGTGATTTTAACTAGTGCTCTCTTCATATACCTAACCAACATACATATTTGTATGAAAATATCAATTTTAACAATATACTTCATTGCATTATTGCACAATTTAACAGAATTAGTTATTGATTAATGGTTATCAGAAAAAAAATGGGGTGATTATCTTAAAAATGTTAACTGCTTAACAAAAAAAAAAATAATTTCTAAGAATTTACCAATTTATATACTATTTATCATGCATTTTATTCTATACCTATCTTCAGAATGTTTCTGCATTTAATTTTAATTGACTTGGTATTCTTCATATTTATAAAATCTTTTATTATAAATACAAGACTCTTATAAGAGGCAGTTAATGAACCAGCTTAGTAATGTTCATTTTCCTTGTGTAATTTTGCTATTAATATATATTGTCTTAAGTTTATTTAATCAGGTAATTTGTAATATGTTACTAAATTATAACAAAAAATCTACCAATTTATCTCATTTTATGTGATTGCTTACTGGAGTAAAAATAACTTGTGTTCTCTACTTATATGTATGCGCATACATATTCTTTACCACAATATTTTATGTTCTGTAAACATGGATCTCATTACACATCTACATATGTTTTGCTGTAATTCTAAAAATTAGCTTTAGTTCTGCATTCCAGAACAAAGTTTGCTGGGTTGACACCCTACCAGTCCAGAAACTACTTACATTCTTCAGGTGCTGTATTTAGAAAAAGAAACTATGGAATGATGGAACAATATAATATACATATGAAAGATGTTAGCAAAACAAAATAACATTTGTTGCAATGAATGGACAATAATCATAACCAATACAATTTTAGACATTTCCTAGAATCAGCTGAAAGAACACTAACAGAAATTTTTACTCGAAATATTAGTAATAATATGCAAACACTTTTAATTAAATTTTAAAAAGTTGTTGATTTAGAAGTATAATTTTTATGACTAATTTTTGGTGTAAAACCTTTTGACTGTTTTCATCAATTAACTTGTATGTGTATTTGTGTACACATAAAAATAACATTTTACTTATAGACATTACTGTTAGTGTTTTTTTTTTTTGTTTTTTGTTTTTCACAATTGGTGCCAGTGTTTATTTTAAACCAAAATTGTTCTTTCATGTTATTTCAAAAGGAATGCTTCAGCATACCAACAATTTGAAATGGCCTTTTGTTGATTTTGATCTGTCATGCTGATGAATTAATTTTCAGTAACTTGAACAATTTATCTGAGGCATGTAGAGGTATCCATTTTTCAAAAATCACTAAGCAGGAAACAGGCCATTAAGAGATAAATAAATCAAAAAAGTTATTTTTTATGTGTATTAAAAAGCTCAGAAGTATTTAAAATAGTGTATATATGTGTGTATGCATATATTTGGACAGCAGGAATTAATTTAAAGAAGTTGTATTAAATTCAACCAATAAAGTCTGTTTAAAGTTTTTTTTATTTTTCCAATTTTTTAATAAGTTGTTACACATCCACAGCAGAATTTTGATTAAACTGACCAATTAGTTTTCAAGTATTTTTGACTAATTGGTCATTCTGTTTTCAAAAAAAAAAATGGATTTTTTGTCATATTTTGACATGTATTTGAAACATTACATTTCAAATTTAAATGTGTATCATATGAGTCACATTTTCCATAGAACAATTTCACAGAGCTTGATAACATTAGAAATGAGTATTAAATATTTTATATGTATTATTTTTATACATTTTTAAAATGTCATCCCTGTAGTAAAAGATATTGTCTTTAATGCAGGTTATTTCTTTTGTATAATAGTATTGTGTATTTTGAGTCTTTCTTTCTAGTGAATACTATACAGTATTTTGTTTAAGTTAATAGTTGTATTTTGATTGTTTGTGATATGATTATCAATATGTGTATGAAATAAAATACATTTTGATAAGTGGCAAGTTAACCTGAGAGAGTCGGGTACTTGTGACCAATGTAAAGATCGCAAAAATTCATTGACATTTTTTTATACTAAAAGCAGATTTTTGGAGTTCCTAGTTATTGACGATGATTAAGTGTTTAAATGATTAATCTAAAGTATTATATTTTTAATGACCTTTCCATCTTGTTTAGAATTAGTTCATCTCGTTATAATAGGATAAGTCGTTTTTTATTTTTGTTTATATCAGTATGGTTGTTTGTACCATTTTTTTTGTTTTTTGTTTTTTTGTTTTATGATACTCAATTCTTTATCAAATAATGTATGAAAAAGATTTTTTATATGAATTGATGAGTTTTTATACAAATAGATGAAATTTGTTAAATCAGTTGTCCTACTTAAACAGCATCTATTCTTACATGATTTCTTAGTAACTCTTTAAAAATCTGTTAACAGAATTCATTTTTCCAGTGTATGTGTGTGTGTGTATAATATATATGCTAAAAGTGTCTCTTCACTTGTGTGGCACTCACTTCTTTAATCAAGCCAACTTTAATCTGCAAAAATTTAAATGCAATGCCAGTCGCTATCTACTGTCCTCCTGATTACTCTTTCCTCTTCCCGCTCATTATCAATGTCTCTGTTCCTAATTCTTCCAACCTCTTGTCTTAGTGGCTTTACTGCTTTCCATTGCGTGATACCAATTAATACACACACACACACACACACACACACACAGTA